CTGGGAAAGAGCCAGTGCAGGTCTCTGGGGAGACCAACAGCAGCAAAGTGGCAGAGCAGACACGGCCAGATGTGTGGGAGGGCATTGTAGACACACACACACACACACACACACACACACACACACACACACACACAAAAAAAAAGTTGAATTCCCAAAATAAATATCGGCCATTTGGAGTGTTTGATGCCTTCTCAAAGTGAAATGAATTATGTAATATTAGTAAAGTTGTTGGGTATCATAACACCTCTGCTGAGAACATTTAGCAGTGTGTTTTAAAGGTGTTAGATGTAGCATCTTTTTTTAGAACAGAAAGGACAAAGGGAGTTTGAGGAAAGCTGGACCAGCATGTATACTATGTTGTGCCCTGACGATATACTGTACTGTAACTGTATTCCAAATGACTGTTTGTAATACAACAGGTATTGGGCAGTAACTCCACCTCATTAAACTGCTGTTGGAGTTCAATTTAGAGCAGAGCATCATTTTAGACCTTGTTATACGTATAAAGACTGATAGTAATTTTAAGGGACAAGTTAAGAGATATTTCTACTTGCCTGACTAACAACATCCCAAAAAAAAATCCCAATTTAATGTGAAATGATTAGATATTTATTTAAATTATTGGCAATAACCTATGTCCTTAAAGATGTTCCTTTGAAAAGAAGCACAAGGCTGCTTTTGTCGAGCTACCCGCCCGCTCACACACATTTATGTGCGCATAACTTCTACCTGATCACATTCACTCTGAACAGGAACAAAGTGTTCCTTGTACTGCACGGACACCACAGTGCCTGCTGCCTCAGTGTTCACAAAGTCCTCGTCACTGGAGCAGTCAAAATGTGCAACATGATATCGTCACAGGCTGGAGACCTGCCTCTGATCCTTCTAGCTTAAAAAAAACTAAAAAGAAAAGCTATTTGTGTTCAGGGAAAGCTTCTCGACTGTCCAAAGTCATGTGCTTGTTATGGTAGATCCCCAAAGGAAGAATAGAAGGCATTAGAACATGTGCTGGTCATGGGAAAAAGGACGAAATGCACATATATCATCTACACTTAGGAGTTGAAGCTGCTGCTGCACAACTGTAGCAGCTCTATATTAATGCCCGATCCGGCTGTGGGGCTATAAATAACAAGCATGCCACCATGAGATTTGTTTCTCTCCCGTACAGTTTTCTGTATCTCATCCGCTCCGCCACACACACACACACACACACACACACACACACACACACACACACACACACACACGTTCATTCACTCTCGCTCTCTCACTTTCAGCCACCTCTCTCCAGGCTCTGGTGTAAAAAGTGACGCGGGGATTAGCCAGGAGACGACTATGGAGAGCTCACGAGAGGTCTTCGACCCACTGCCATCCCCTCTGTTTCCCACAGAGCAGAGGCTTGTGTGGCACCAGCAAAAACATCAAACATCCAGGGTACAGAGCTGGGTATTCCTGTCGTGCCAGTGGGGGGGGGGGGGGAACCAGCAATCAGCTGGAATAACAGAAAATAAGTTGGGCTTCAGGCCTGTAATATCACACTTACACACACTTACACTGCGAGCGCTAGCCTGTGCTAGCAGAGGCCGTCTTTCCTTCCCGTCAACAAGTATACTTTTATTGATGTATCAAAGCTTTCCCATCATTTTGTCAGCTCTGTCCTCAACCTCTTTCATCTTTTCAAGATCTAAAAACAAGTGAGAAAGAGATTTATGAGAGAAACTCACAAGTCTGCTGACGTAAAAAATGGTTTAAAGACTCGAACATGTTGAATCACAGGAAAACTAGGACAGTAAGTGTCCTCTTCTTGATCGAGAATAGATTTTATTTAAATGCAAAATGCAGACAAAAAAAACCTATTACTCCGACTATCCAGGCCTTAATTCGACTTTCCGGAGTGCATACATGAGAAACAGAATATATAGGCAGAAAAAATAGCAAGCTACAAAGACAGAAACAGCCCCAAGACAAAACCCGTCCTACTTTCTTCAAAGAGAGAGGGGGGGGTCACATTTGATAACAGTTACCAATTACCACCAAGAAACCGTGTATTTGTGAATGTAGAAATTCTCTTGCTTTTCTTCTGTTAGTCTGACTGTATGGGGGGTGGGGGGGGCAGGCTTATTTCTCTAATGTTTCAGCCGTGGCTTTGTCTGTTTCTCTGGCTGCTAACTGTGCTCTCCGGAGGACGGCTACGCTAATCCAAAACTCTGGCGCAACTTTGGAAAACATTCACAGCTGTCTTTTTGCGTTATATGAAATAGGGGGTTCTCTTCCAAAATGCATCTTTGATGCAGAAAAGAAAAAAAAAGTTCAGCAAAAGAGATAATGAAATCATTGTACTCCTTAATGAGTTCCAGTTTGATATCAAATATTAACTTTCAGAAGTTGGCATTGAAAGAAGTGTCTTGAAAGTTGACAGTAGAGCTTCCAAGTTGAGAAATGATGGACTCCAGAAAGAGATTAACAGCTGTGTGGAGCAGGCTTTATTCCTGCCATACACGTGGAAGACATTTTAGGAAGGGTCACACAAGAGGAGAGGTAGCATCCAGGTAGCCAGAGAAACAAAGTCAACAAATCCATGCAATCCCAACAAATCCCTGACCAGTCCATCGTTGTTTGCAGTGTTTTCTAGCAACTAGTTTTGCACGGACACATTCCCTTTTGGAGAAATGATTTCTCTTAGTGGCATTGAGGAAGATGGTGAGAGGTGTGGGCCAAGAAAACAGCTGCTGGCATCAACAGTTTGGAAAAGCAGCGGCCGCATCATCCAATTACATTGAACACAACACCTCCCTGCTCTCCACTGCCAAGTGCAAAGCAAACCAACGGGGGGGGGGGGGGAGAGACAGAGAGAGAGAGAGAGATAATGCCATCCCACGGCACCGACACTTGCAGGTGAAATGCACAAGGAGAAGGCGGCGAGCAGCTGCCTGTGGGTCAGAAGCTCTGAATGAGCAACATGGACGTTGTAAAGAACGCTAACAGGTCCAGCACCTCTGAAATGCCTCAACAAGCATTTCATCGTCCTCGCTTCCTTCAACCAGCCCCGAACCATTTCAGCTGCTGCATGTGTGTGAAATCGAGCCCAACGAGTCTCATTACAAAAAAAAAAAAGAGACATTTCAAAAATATGATTCCACACACTTCCTAGTTGTGAGGGGGAGTTTTGCTGCCAGCCAGTGTTTTGCTGCTTACATGTACTTCTTTTTTTTTTTTCTTGGCATGGAGGAGAGATGAAAAATATGTTGTTTCAGCATCTACATCGCAACGGACACATGTGCAATCATCAGATCCTCCAAGCGGTCTCAGGAATTATCATAAGTTTGCAATTTCTTCTGCAAAATTGCCGAATTGGAAGAACCAAAACTTCCTTAAAACTACGGTAAAGACTTTATTTCCCTTGTAGCATTTGGCAACCCTGTGCTATGCATTGGTCCAAATAAAGTCCTCTGATTTATATTACAAAAAAATATATATATATATATCATGTAATTTCTCTATGTGTGTGTGTGTGTGTGTGTGTGTGTGTGTGTGTGTGTGTATCTTCAGGGTCTCAATACAAAGCAGCAAAGAAAAGCAAATGTTACAGTAAAACTAAAAAGAAAATAGTTGTCTGGTGTCCCTTTGTAAAAGGTCAAGTACAGCATTTACTGTATCTCTCTCACACACACACACACACAGCGCAACATCTGTGGTGGGATCTGTGGACACAGAGCACATGCACACAGAGCAGGACCCAAACCTGCAGAGACACAACACAGATGGCTGCTTTTTACCCAGCTGGCACTGAGACGTATGGAAACAGAGATCATTAGCGAGATAATAAGTGCACGGCAATGTTAGCGAAGGTAAGTCGTCAACATAACCCTCACAAGTTCAAAAAAGTTTGTACTTTACCATTTAACGTAACAATGTCAAATAATGGAAATCGATATTTCCATAGTGACAATGGATCAAATGACTGTGTGTAATGTGAAAGGGGTTGGTCATAATGAAAAAACATGCCCCAAAAATCAACTAATACTGCTTTAAAAATGGAAAATAAAGATATATATAAACACATTACATGCTTCACTAATAGGTATACGTAGATGTTTAGAACACGCAATTTTTCACTGACCTCTGACCTTCAGTGTGCACTTATCCAAAACATTGTTCTAACTAAACGACATGAATCCAAGTATCCCTGTTTGTCAGTTGGACGCAGAATACACCGGATACTGACGAACGTCGTGTGAAACCACGTTTCACAAGCGTGCAATTTCCGCCCAGAAACCTTGAGCCGTACACCGCGAGCGACATATGCTGAGGTCAGCACAACAAGCGGATTGGCGTGCGAGGCAGTCACACTATGGCGACCACAGATGAACCGCCGGCGGTGGAAAGGCCAGTCTGAGGATTCATAGTCAGCTACAGCAACAAGGGAGAGACGCGTTTAGGACAACGAGTGTGTTGCCGTTGTTTAATTAAGTGATTGAAATGGGACCCATTGTTGTCACGAAAATAGTTCACTGAAGTCGTCAGTGGACAAAACGCTATCTCAGTCCTCAACAAGAGGACTTTGTCTGTCTTTGACTGTCTTATCAAAATAAATGAAAAGGACATATCCTTGTGTAATTGTGTTGTTTTTGTGTTCTCCTACCATGAAGCACTGGCACAACAGTCCAATACCCACGCTTAATATCACCATGTAGTATTCTCCCAATGTTCCGCTACAAGAGTCAGCTGTAGCGCATCTCATCTGCTACTCAGGACATTAAGAATCCATTTAAAAAATACTGAACCAGCTGTTATACTTCTATTATTTATTACATCAAATATGGATTGTGTAAGGTGTTTTAAAATAAGAAAACTGCAGTGTTTGTAATTGACACAAGTTGAGAACACTGGCTTCATGCAAACAGGTTGTTTTTGTCGTAAAAAATGTATCTTCGCAATTCAAGGGTTTGGTGTGTCATTAAGACAGACAGACAGACAGACAAGAAGAGTGAACTCACAGTGCAGAGAATCAAGGGGCAGCACTGGCAGCCATGGAGTCCTGGTTGGTGAAGCAGAGAGCGCCTACTTCAGGAAGCTACAGATGCCAGAGAGACAGAAACAGACAAGAGAGATGAAGATGAACGAGGAGGGACGGGGAGAGAAGAAGAAGAGAGAGCACTCGGTTAGTTCTTTTAACATTTTGGCTCGTTTTCACAGGAAGTCATTGTTCTGGCCCGGCGGTACGTCACATTTATTGGTACATTTAGCAAAAGTTATGTTAGAGGCTAATAGAGCAGTGGACACAAATTGATGCATATGAAGTCATTTTTTATCTGCATCGTACACAACGTGAGATGGATGCAACAAGATAATAAAGTGCGTAAAAGTCATCAGGAAGGATTAAATATCATTTGTTTATTGCTCTTGTTCATTTTTAGTCTAACACGACTGGACAAAAGATACTTCCCACATACGTCCCACTTCCCACAACGTCACTCAGCTGCTGAGTGACGTTGCGTCAGAAACGGAAGTGACACCGAGACGTCTATTCAGCGAAGACACGTTTTCCACCAACATGCAGGAAAACACATTCAGGCATAATTCTCTGGTCACCATGTGTCGTGTTCTACATTCTTAAACATGTATAGAACGCTCTACTGAAAGGCATGCCCGCATCCATCTCGTCCTGGTGTCCCGTGTGCTGAAAATAAACTGGACAGTAACGGTTCTTCTAATCCAGTTGGTGGATTTAATGCTGTGAAGGGAGGACATATTCCCCTCACTTCCCTACTGAATCCTCCTTTGGCTCCTTTAAGAACCATTTGATGTGTTTGAAGACAAAATAGCTGGCTCTGTGAGTGTTGCCATGCAACCGAGGAAAACTTCAGAAACTAACGTGACCCCCCACACACACACACACACACACACACACACACACACACACACTGTCAGGGATTCTATCTTAAAAAGCGTTCTGCATTAATTCATCCGAGGACGGAGCATCTTGATGGGGGATAAAAATAGACACAGTGATCTCAGTAGCCTTGAGTTTTTTTTTGTTTTTTTATTAGCCTGCTGATTTGCTTTAGAATGGAAAAATTATCTGTAAAAAAAAAAGGGAATGTGGAGAGAAAATCCTTTGAAGTTCTGCAGTGATGAAAATGTTGTTGTCCACTGGGGAACACATATTAGGATTAAATGCAATCTGGGTTTCAAACATGTTATTCATTTGTGAGTAAGCTTCCTCTTTACTCACTCTAGTGTAAGGCTTTAAAAACATTCCTGATTGTGGACATTTCTGAGTAACGCACCTACTTTTTGCTTTTCATTATAAGCTTCAAATCTCCATGGTTTATGTGCGGTTGTTGTTTATGTATGTTTGAGGAACAACTGGCGTGCAGAGTCAAAGGTTCAGTAGTCTGCCCATGCCCAGTTAACTTCCTGCACAAACAATTATGGCCCAATTACATCGGAATAACGGCTTGATGTGATGATCCTGTCAGCCTCTTATGCAACCTTCATTTACATGCAGAGCGTAACAGCCCCCGGCCCAGAGCTTTGATGACGTCTAATGAACATTTCTGACAACTTTCAGGCCACAAGCCAACAACGGTTCAGCCTGCTCAACTCTCAGTGAGAGGGAAAAATACTTTTCTTCACAGTTCGGATACTATTTTTGTAGCTCTGACCATCATTCATATATCCTAATTTTTTTTTTCACCAGCATAATTGGAGTTTGTTTAGAATATGAGCGATCGGCCCATACGACGGCAATTAACTTAATGAGTACAATGTTTTAACAGTCATGCATGAGACAACACAAGGAAGACTCAGTGTGGGGCTGGAGGTCCTCCATGAGTTATCATGCTGGCTGAGTAATAAACAGCTAATAGACAGTTAGGACTCATTTTTACAACAGAAAATTGTTTCTTAAACTGAAGATTAGGAGCAGGATTATACACCCTGTGCTCTGTTAAATTATATATAAGACACTCAAAGAGTGATACACACCTGCAGGTTGCCCAATAAAACCAACTCCAGTTGACCCAAGCAGGTCTGCGGGGGCGGTTCCTAATTAAGGGGCTCAGTGGACAATACAAAAAACGCTAAATACCAGTTGTTGTTTGTTCATTTCCTCTGCCTACATTTCAAGCTTTGATGCCGACAGCCTTGCGGTCATAAGCAGGATGTTTAAACTTTTAGTTTGTGGCATGCCTCCTCAGAGGCTGCTGCAGTATCAGCCCGACGCCGTTCGTCTCGCACACTTCAGCAGACGTTAAATCAAAGCGTGGTCGTTTGCACGTGCCTGTCCCTGCCTCTGTAAACTTCAGTGACCACAACCCGTCCCTCCTGGTTAACAACAGCTGGTTGCAGGAGTCCATCTGCTACCTGTAGGCACCACAGGGCTCACGGCTCCAGCACAGTCGTCGCTTGTCTCCTCTGAGAGGTGCACTTACGGGCACACCGGTGTGTGCTGCTGCTTCGCCACCTCAATAACAGTCTGAACGTTTGACTGGCACACTCAGCGGTAAACAGGCTTTTAATTGAATTCAGTGAAGGAAGAAGAAATGTCTGTAAGCTTTGTTAAATATCTATGTGATTCAAGCTTCCTGCTGCTTTTACGACTGAGACCGATTGTTTGTTTAACTTGTCTTTGGTGTCGCTGCTGAATCACAGCATCACAGGAACTTTTGGACAAATTGCTGATTAAAAGTGACAAAAGATGTTCAATCATTTTTGAACCAGATGAAAAAAGTTAATGAATATTTCCCTGTGGGAATACCGGTTAACTTTATCTTGAGCTAAATGTCTGTCCATGTGTGTGTGCCTGCTAATGTCCATATGCTCTTTGTTTGATCCAATAGGAGAGTAATTAGCACTGATGTGCTGGCATCTACACACAAAGGGTTTTCATTCCACTCCCAGATCACCTTCACCTTCCCCCAGTCCACGGCCACATTGTGAGAGCATCATTTGCTGACTCACTGTCATTAACGCCGGCTGCAGAGAGGCGGAGCTAATAGCGCTTACAGAGGAGCCACTCAGACAAGCAAAGGACAGGTAGAATAAAAATAAACCCAGAGCAGAAACACAAACACAGGAATCAAAATGAATATCTGTGTTTTGTGCACACCATACTATTAAGTAATTTAAGGTATAGTGTGCATAACATCAGAATTAAGGTATTATGACTCCATCAATCACACGCGTGGCTGTCAAGCACAACACACCAGGCGACCACGCTCACTAAGCTCAGCAACGATTGCATGTGTTGTTATCTTCAAAGCATCATGACACATGTTCCGTCTGTCTTAATGGCATTTCAGCTGTACCGCACGATACAACGAAAATACAATTCCTGTTTAGTTCAGAACAGTTTACCAAACAGCACGTACTAAAGTGATATTTTTCTCACAAGTTCTCACCGTCATCCTCCAATGAATTCGAGGGGATTGCAATCCAAGTCTGTCTTGAGATGCACGGCCTGTGTTTTTCTTAAATATGGTGTGTTGGATATCGCATAAGTCTGTGGTTGAGCGCAGAGACACACAGGAAGCTTTTACACAACAACGGGGCTCAGTGGAGGAACACAGACAAACATCCGTTAAAGCCCGGAGCTTTGTGGCCGAGTCGACGCCGCGCAGACCAGGAGAATGTCACTATGAGCTGTGATCAGTGCTCACGGTGCTCCTCATCTTTACTACTGCTTCCTGTCACTCTGCTCTACCTTGTCCTTGTCTCCAGTGTTTCCATTGACAGGTGAGAGGGGCTCCACAGTGACAACTACCGCTGTGACTCTTCATTTAAGGGACAGATACCATAGACCGGAGAGGTAGAGGGGGCAAGTTTAAAAAAAAAAAAAACTCTACTTGTGAGAAACCAGAATTAAACCAAATTTGCAGAATCACATTTATTCTACAGTAAATCTGCAGCATGAATCATGCATTTATTTTGATTCAAATGAAGACGGCTGTTCAGTGGCAGCTGTAGTTTCTGCAGCGGATGGATTACAAACGGTTCATTACCTCGTCAATTCATTTTGTCAGAGGGTGAAGTAACTGAATAAGAAGGAGTGGACACATGTCAATCAACACCTCGCAAGACAAACCTGGAAGAAGCTCTCGCTCTGGCTCAAAGTTAAACTTATTTTAGAAGCATTTATTGTTATATTTGTTGAAATTCTCATTACATCCCGACAGCTAGAGCTGGGCCATAAAACATATCAATTTGAATAGTTCATACTCACACAGGTAAAATATCAACATGGCAGCATGTGCTAATTAGAGTGAGAAGTTAGCTCTCAGCAACCTCAAACAGTGCAGGTTCATGTGTTCTAGGGGGAGTGGCTTTGAAAGGGAGGCTTGAAGAGACGGGCTGGGAATTTTATTTCAGCGGGACACTTTCAATACCTAGCTTACTCTTACTGATTTCCCCAAAAGTTGCCTGCACCAGCTTTAAGCTTGCCACGTCGGAATATCACTTTTAGGTTTAGCAGCGTGCTTTTAATTCACTTGCAGAGTCAGCCGAATGAGTTCAGGTTGAATCACACTTGACGCAAATCCAGAGCCCAGTGACACATGAATGGATTTAAATCAGGAGTCTGTTGACTCGCAACTTCCAAACTGCAGCGAGACAAACGGGGACTGGATTGAAAACAAGCAGCAAACGCGCCCTCTCTGGTCTAAAAGCATCAGCAACTACGCAGACGTGTGTGTTGTGTCTTCCTGCTGAAAGCTGGTGAGAAAGAAACGTGTTGGAGGAGGGGTGGGATTATCCAAGAAGCTAAAATAGTCACGGATGAAATAACTTGACTGCACTTCAAACACTGCTGAGCGTGAACTTTTTTCCTTCACATTTGAGCAAATGAGAAATCATCCCCCATCTCAATCTCAGTGTGCTTTTCTGTCTCTTTCACTGTCAGGTTCCACTATTACAGAAATCATTTTATTATGGCTGCAGTTTCTATGCAGATGGTAAAAGGATTGGGTTGAAAACGCAGAGAAGAGATGCAGGGTGCAAACAACGGTTCCTGTAAGCAGATAAAGCTTCTCGTTTGTATCTTTCGTCTTTTTTTAAGCTGCTTCCGCTCAAATGCAATATTCACAAGGACGAGGAAAAAAAGGAGCACAGCACGCTACAATATGGTATACAAGTATACAACTGAACAGAGCAACACAACATAAACAAATAAAAAGTGTGAAGAAGCACGGACACTAGCGTTGCCGAGTGGTGGCACACTCCCATCGTTGAACTGGGACTGAGAAGCAGCAGCTACTCCGGTGCATATAGAGGCCTCATTAACATGTGAGCCAGCTTGTCCAGAGTCACGCATCCTGTTTAATTAGAGGACATCCCTTCAGCGCTGACAGTCCCGTCTCTGAACACTTGACACAAGAGACGGGGGGGGTGGGGATGATAAGAACGATGCATCTACCTCTCCTCCGCTTCTCATCTAATCTGTCCCCGTGCACAACCTTTCCTCTGTGGATCTCCTAAATCCTGTGTGGTCGTCCTGTCCATCTGCGTCTCTGAGCCCGTCCGTATGCTAGCAAAGCCTCCGCTACACTGAGGAGGCAGCAACAGTTGTTGGAGCCTCGAAAGAACAGGAAGAGGAGGGAGGAGAGGAGGAAACAAAAGAGGAAACGTGGCTTGCTACTTACAGAGCGTGTCCGATCAGTGCAGTGGCCAGGCAGACATGGGGGGGGGGAGGGCACATGACCAACGTAGTCGGTATGCAGCTGGTGCATGAATGAGAGACAGGAGAGGGAGGGAGGGAGGAGTAGGTAGCAAAAAACAGTGTGAAATACTCAGCTTCTTACTTTTAAAGAAAAGAGGGCAAAGGAAAGAGAAAAACCTCGAGTCACAAAAGATGACGAGCAGCAAAAAAGAGACAGAGCCGGACTTTCCCCCTCTCCTCAGCTGCAGTAATTGTGTTCAGTCAACCTCATGCCGGCCCATTAACAACTTCTCATGGTGAGAGAAAAACTGGCAGAAATGAGAGAATGAGTTTGAGCTGAATTCCCAGAGAGACCGATCGGTTTCATGATGCCTCTTAACGGTTCACTCTGCAGGCAGCTGTCAGCCTCACATAGATGAGGACCTCCGGTCTGCTTAGTGCAAATCTAGTAGATGTTTCAGAGGCCTAATGGTTTGTAAAAGTGAGAGTCTAGACAGAGACTAAACAACAACTACTAAAGCACAAGGCATGAAGCAGGTCAATATCCAGAAGGGAGGGGTTTGCCAAATAAAGCGTCCTTGGACCTGGCTATAGAACTAGATGGAGCTTCTTAGGGCTGTTCCCTGGGAGATAAAGAGAGAAAAACACAAGTAAGAAGAAGACTTCCTTTGATTTATCAGTTCACATGTCCTTGGTTAATGCTCACAGCTCAGAGGCTGGGCTGCAGCTGTGTCTAAGGTTTCAGACAACTATTAAAGAATAATACTGGGACTGTGTCATCAATTATTTTTTTCCTACTTTGACAAGCTAAGAGCTTAAGTGCTCTACCAAGAAAAACGTTCAAAGATTCAAGACAGCCATGTTTTTATTTCAAGTTTAAATCGAAGTTATCTCTTTGCATTCGTGTCATCAGACTTGTCCAAGTTTTGGATCCACTTACTGCATGGCTGTCATAAACACAAGCTTTCATTAGAAACTTAATTTCTAGGAGAAGAAGAGTGATTATCAAATCAATTGCTTTGGTCTAAGAGAGCTTTGGTGCAACAACTAAGTAGAGAGTGAAGACAAGATGCTTTCTCAGCAAGGAAAACGTATTTCTTACGTTTCTCTTTGTATTTTTTTAAACCTCGAGACAACTAAACAAAAAGATCAGATAAAGTACAGTTGCTGTCGTGTTTCCTGTCAACTCAAACATCTTCAAGAGGACGCGATATCTTCAATATGGTCGCCTCCGTGCGTGCAGATCATGAGCCTAAAACATCCCAACCTAAACAAACCCATCAGAGTTTCCACATGTATGACGCTTAGTTTCCAGCCACTCACTCTTGCACAACTTTCAAGACATTTGTTAAAATTAGGGAGGGAGCTATGAGTGACTGTTTAACAACCAAAACAAATCGAAAGGCATTCTCACTCAAAGCTTCAATGCAGCATGTTTCACGCCGAGGATGGAGAGAGCTGATGACGACCAGCTTTTTCCAGTGTTTAGTCTCGGTGGCAGAGCGCTACTAAATCAGCTTAAAGAGGTAATTTCCTATCGACAGCAAAAGGTACTGTGCATGCAGATGTCAGTGCAGTTGGCAGCTGATGCGGTGAGGTCTACGTGGGCCCATCATCTGTGCCGACATCTGGGCCATATGTCTTCTACACTGAGGTGCCGGATTCAGGAGGAAAACAGGGCACCTGGGGTGGAATTAGTCCAAGGACCCACAACAGCTTTGGCTGTAAAGAGAGAAGAATGCTGCGAGGGAGTTATTTAAACAGCAGAACTGCATTGTTTATCAGTGGCTAACATGTGCGTGAGGATTAAGTTATCAATGAAATATGCACTTGGCGTGTGATTCATCATGCAATGAATGAATATGATAAACTGACATAGAAGAAAAGGAGGATTTGTAGACCCTTGGTTTCTGAGATGATAGTGTGAAGAACAGGGAGAAGGAAGTCAGGGATCGGACGCCAGTAGAATAACAATAATGTTGGGGGGGGGGGATGGAGTCAAGCCAGAAAGTTGACAGTAATTAGCCATCTGAATGGCCTCACAAAAAAAAAAAAAAAAGATAGTTGATGCGAGCAGGCGTTTCCTGGGAGATGGAATGAAATAACACAGAAAGGCTTTTTGCTCCTCCATCTCAGGGATCAGATTAAACATACAACTGATCCACGGGACTGTGGGACACAGTGCTGACACTGCATTTTGCTCAGGGATGAATTTTATACTCAACACTGCAAGACGCTGGATAACGCTAGTTGTAATGGAGGAAAGAAATACGTATGACTACGTAAGTTTAATAAAGAAAAAGCTTATAGCACTGTATAGTCATAGTTATAAGCACTCATACATACACATAATACTCATTAAGGGCATTTAACAATGACCTACGAGGCCATTACAATGCATTATATTATGAAAGATCACAATACTACAATGGCTCATGACAGGAAATGTTTTTAAAGGTTACTGTGTTTTATAGATTTCATAGAACACAAAGCAATAACAAGAGGCGTTGCTCCTCGCATAAATATCGCTGTCACGTGTGCATTCACACGCGCACACACACACACACACACACACACACACACACACACACACACACACCGGCGGATCCTACACATACGCTGCCACATCTCCCCCCATTATCATCATCATCCTCATCCATCTCTCCGTTTAACGGGAAGTCTGAGACAATCCCTCGCTCCCGTTTTTAATCCCTCACCTCGGAGCGACAGGGACAATCACAGCATCATCCGTCCCTCTGTCCTTCACTATCAGCTGCCCTACCTGCAGGCGGGAGGACTCCGTCACTGTAATGACTTCCTTTTACATGTTGTGTCTGCAGAGATAAAGTGGATGAGGCATGCAAGTCTGGACCCATTCTTCTTTCCCAATGCAGATTTACAAAGAACCTCAATAAATCAATTTCCTTACTGAGCTCTGGGGTCATAAACGTCTATCTTAACAACTTTATCTAAAAAGAAGCTATCGATCAAAGATGTCAGTGACTCAGGAGCTAAGAGAGAACTAGACCGTATAGCAGCAATGTTGGCTCTCTCTAAAGCTGCACCATAACCTCTCGACACACAACTACAAATCCTCATTGAGTCTGTATTTTTGTCCATTTCTGAAATTGATTTGTAGATACAGTTATGAATCCCAGCTCAGCTGAAATTGCACAACAAAGATGTAAGATGCCGTTGCTGTGTCCTGCATTGTAATCCTGTCAGTCAAAACTACATTGGTGGTTAGGATGATCTTTGGGATGCTGACTATCTGAGTGGAGAAGAGTACCTTCAAGTATGAGTGACGGTAAAGCGCTTTGCTATACTCAACGTTCTTCCGAGCAATTCCTGCAAACAACTAACTTTTTGATTCTAAGTGGAAACGTGGAGACCTTTCAGCTTTCTGATCACGAAGCCAGTGGGCAACAAGAGGCCAGTATGAGCTCCAGTATCTATGGAGAACTGGAAGAATGTCATAGTAATCCGTCTCCGACCCCAGTGGAGCTCCTTGGCTCGCTCCCCCCCAGCCAATGCTTTCCTGTTCCGACCTTGCCAGCGGACCAGTAGGGATGTTGCTCTGAGCCCATCCACAGCCGCTCTAGATAAGGAGTCAGTCCAGGAAGGAAACGCTTTCCAACAGCAAAGGACGGCAGGGATGAGATAAGACACTCAGAATTCATCAAAAAGACGTCAGAAATAGAAGAAAATAGATTGTGTGGAGGGTGACAGTGAATGTTGATTTCTAATATTAGTAACACCCCTTTATTTTCATGAGTGCAGGCAAAAATACAATTCAAATTAAAATATTGTTTATCTAGAGCAGGAATGTTGTCCTTTGGCACATACAGTTTCAGATGAAGCCTTGTTAATATTCTCTTTTTATTTGAATATATATTCAGTGGAAATGTCTGGGGTTGTGGAAAACTCCCACTCCACAAACTGTTCCCAGTCTTACTGTCACCCTCTTTCTCCATGTGACTATCAGTGCAGAGCATTTTTAATCTGCCCTCCTTCTTCAGCGGCGTGGCAAATAATTATTAAAAGGATCAAAGCATATGAAAGGGCTTCAGCGTCAGCGAGGTTGAGCTCGGGGGAGCCGGGTGACTCAAAGTGATAATGGCAAAGCACTGGATTGTTTTTGCCCTGTGTGCAGCGCTGGAGTATCTGAGCTCCGCAATTAACACCGGTGGAACTGAGAAACTGTCGGAAATTGTTCCAAGGTAAAATCGATTTCTGCTGGTGCTTTTATGAAATTAAAGCTTTTTTTCTCAGATTTATGCATTGAAACTTTGAGGCAGTTGACATATCCGACTGAGAAGAATCCCATGTCCATGTCAAAATCAGGGAACAATCAAAGTGAAACCTGAAATATCATTTTAGAGAAGCAATATACAAATGATAATGGCCCGTAGTGTATCATGAAGAAATGTTCTAATAGCAACCCTATTATCTGTAACCAGCTCCCTGTGATGAACCAGTGTGTATATCCCTGGCCACTATCACAGGCTCCACAGTGGCTGGACAGTTCCATGTGCCTATATATGCTGTGGAAGTACAGCACAATGGTTTAAAGCCCACCGGCCGGGTTGGGCTACAACAATATGGTGCTTGACAAGTGTGCGTGGACGCTTTTAGACAGTTAAGAAATGAGATGCGCACCGGACCTTATGTCCTCCGAGTGGTGAGCATGGGCTTTAGAGCTTAGGGTCCTGCAATCAAGCTAAAAGGTTGTCGCCATGCAAACCCCACCGTCTAGTGCCCGCGTACTGTACATCAGCATGACAAAGTGACGAGATGCAGTTCACTCAGTGGATGACTTGTTTTAAAAGCCGACGGGGAGAATGATGAAATGCGTTCCAGGATAGGATTCTAGAGTGACACTTGGACAGGCTTTGACTCAGTGATAGACTGCGCCTCTGTTTGCCTGTCCAGAAGGATTTCAGAGGTGTGCGTGAACACTCTCGCGTTCCTTAAGGCGATGGCAAAACACCTCCAAGGCACTCAGCT